GAGGCGCGCCTCCCCTCATTATCTGATGGAAGCGTCGCTGGGGGGATCGCGGTCAGACTCCTCGCTCTCCTCGTTCGGGGCTGACTCGCTGTTGGAGGCCGGGGTGAAGGCAGGAGACTTTCTGCGGAGAAGAGTAAAGGGCAGTGGTCACAGCTCAGGGGGAGGAAAAGGACCCAATTTGGTGGGGGCGGGGGGCACCAGAGCAAGGAGGACCCTCATTATCTGATGGAAGCGTCGCTGGGGGGATCGCGGTCAGACTCCTCGCTCTCCTCGTTCGGGGCTGACTCGCTGTTGGAGGCCGGGGTGAAGGCAGGAGACTTTCTGCGGAGAAGAGTAAAGGGCAGTGGTCACAGCTCAGGGGGAGGAAAAGGACCCAATTTGGTGGGGGCGGGGGGCACCAGAGCAAGGAGGAGAGAAGCTGAACTGCCCCTCTCACTCCCCTGGGGAATGCGTGGGTCTGCAGGAATCCTTGGGTGCTGGGGAGGGTGTCGCAGAGAACACCAGCCGAGAGATCCAGAGCATGAAGCGGGGCTGGGGGAGATGCCGGAGGAGCCTGCCCCGAGCAGGACCCTGCCCCGAGCAGGACCCTGCCACGGCGTGTGAGGTGAGGGGAGCCCACCACAGAGGTACCCAGCCTGGAGCCACCCTGGCTCCACATGCCTGTGGGGACCTATACGATGTCCCTGCACAACAGCAGCTCCTCTCTCCATTGGGGGTGTCCAGCTTTACCTGTCAAAATCGACTCCTGTGTGCAGCCCACCTTTTGCAGAGGTGGCACTACGACCTGTGTGGAGGCTGGTCACCAGGAGTCCAACAGCCCTCTCTCCATGCCACACCAGGGCAGGGCAGGAGTACTACCCCATGCTTCAGCTCCCACTCACCACTGCCCTGGCTCCAGTCCTTGCCTAGAGCACAGGAATCCCGGCCCTCCCACTGAAGCTCACCTGTCCCCAGACTGGGTGATGAGCCGCCGGCAAGTCTCCATCTGCACATCCAAGCCTCGCTTCATGCTGCACATTTCCATGTACTCGTGCAAGTGCCGGTTCATGTCGTTCTTGGCCGTGGCCAGCTCCAGCTGCACAAGGGAAACGGTGCAGAGATGAGCCTGGGGCACAGTGCGGTGCAGGGCAGGGGGCATGGCCAGACCCAAGGCTGCCACCCCCCATTACCAACTACCTGCTCCAGCATGGTGTCTCCCTCCCCCAGGGACCCACTGCCCCATTACACCCCTTCTGTGCCATGTCCTCCCCACTTCCTCTTCCTCCTCTTCCCACCTCTATTTGGTCGATGGTTTCCTGGTACTCCTTCTCACGGCTCTTGAACAGCGATTCCGTGTCCTTGATCACTTTCTCCAGGCTGTCGTCCTGCTGCTGGGGAGAGCAGACGGCATGTTTAGAGGCAGGGAGGCGTCCAACACGAGGAACCAAAGGCAAGAGAGAGAGAAATCAGAGAAAGAACTGGCAGCACTGGGAAAAGAGGAAGAAACATAAGCCGTCTAGTATAAATAAGGCACGAGTCAGTCCTGCCAACCCGGGGTAGAGAGACCCAGGACTTGCCACACTGGGCAGTGAGCATGTCAGCCCAGAACAAGCCCAGCAACGCACAGAAGCTTTGGAGAGCACAGACCGTCCCCAAGTGCAACACATCCCCAGGGGACTGCCGAGGGCTGAAGATGCGGGATGGCGAGGGCTTTGGCCAGACATTGAGGCCTCTGTTTGGGCAGTGTTGCTGCACAGCGGGCAGGTGGGCCGGAGAGCCCGAGCAAGGGACCACCAGAGACAGACCACAGAGGAGGTCTTCTCTTCTGGGAGGACTGTAACTCTCCCTATGCATGTGGGCCGTGCCCTCAGCATATTTTTCAGGCTACGGGTCCCCGGTCTGTCTAACAAGGAGACCTCCACGAGGATGTGGTAACATATTCACGTAGAGAAGATGGGGTGTAGAGGGGAAGCATCTGTACAGGCCTGCAAGGGATGAAGGGGCTGAAGTCTGGTCTTTGAGGGAGCAATCTTCCCAGCCTCAGGCAGGACCGAGTGTCCCAACCCAGGGCTGGATCCCCGAGGGGACCTGACACCACCGTTACCTCCCCCTGCACCTCTGCAGCTGCAATGGCGTATCCGGAGAAGTCCTCCCAGAGGAGCAGCGTTTCTTCTGTCTCCTCCCATGTGAGGCTGTCACAGTCATCCTCAAAGTCATATTCCCTCCTGGGGGCAAGGGAACAGCACGTCAGCACCCAGCAGGAAAACCCCAGCAGGCAGGGGGTTCCATCAGTGCCAAAAGCCTTGCCCCTCTTCACAGGCAGGGCTGCAGTTCTTGGGGGGTCTGGCCAGGGTAAGCTCAAGTGTGCCCAAACCCAACAGCTGATGGGGAAGGGGCTGGCTTTATGGTCAGGAGCCCCAGCAAATTCAGGCAGGGACTCCCGAAAGGCGGGAAGGGGGCAAGAGGAGGGGAGCTGGACCAGCTCCCACCCACAGCATGGGTGGGCTCAGGTCTCCCAGGGGGTCAGTCCCACCGCGCCGCAGAGCACAGGGTGTATGTACCCCGCAGCAGCACCTCCCACCTCGCCCTCCCCCAGGAAGGGGAGCCGCAGCCCACCCCTGCCCTCCCTATCCCGGGCGCCGGCGGGGAGCCTGGTGCCGGAGCCTCGCTCGACGCTGGCGGCAGAGGTGCGGACAGCTGCACTCACAGCTGGTTCAGCATCCTCTGCATTTCCTCATTGATACTCATGGCTGTGGTCTCGTCCTCCTCTTCCTCTTCAGGTTTTCGGGAGGCATCGCTTTCCGACAGCGAGGTGTCTTCGTCGCTGACCTGCTTGCGCTCCCGCTTCCGCCCCACCGAGGCTGGGACCTTAACGGGAGACAAGTGCAGAGACTACAGAAACGAGGCCGGGTCCGAGGTTGGGAGCAGGTAGTTGGGAGGAGATGAAGGGGAAAGGAATGGTGGAGGGACAGAAAGGCGGGGAAAGACAGACAGACAGACAGAAAGAAAGAAAGGAAGGAAGAAAAGCAAGAGAGAAAGAGAGACACGGGCTCATTATGATCAGGTTGAAGATGGATAAAACATGGTTTTAGCATTTTCTAAAATTAAAACTAAGCAACTAAAGATGGAATCTGTGAATCTGATGAGAAAAAACAACGTGGTTTTACTGCAGAAAAACTCAAATCACCCATCACCCCAGTCCAGAGATAGGAAAACACAGCAACAGAAACAGGAAAAAAGAGACAGAGTCTGAAAAAGGTGAAATATGTCAATATTTACAGTCCGACCTTATTTACAGAAAGTTTAAAATTTATACACTTTCCCAACTGAATGGAACTAACCAGTTGCTTCTGTAGGGACAAAGAGAGCGAGACAGAAAAGCAGCGACATCCAGAAAGAGAAAAGAGACAGAGAAGAGAGACAGAGAGAAGATGACGGAGAGGGGAAGGGGAAGGAGAGAGATGGAATTAGAGACAGACACTCAAGCAACTCGTCTCCCTCCTGCAGCTGCTCCCCTACCACTGCGGGGTCCCCGGGCCCAAAGCAACAGGTCAGCGAGAGGTTGAGGGGCCTCTCAATGCCCAAAGCAACATCTGGAGCTTTCTACCTCCTCTCCGTGCCCTTTGGCCTGGTCCTCCTGAGAGAGACAGAGAGCAAGGGACTGCAAGGAGCGAGGGTGAGGGTGACCAAGCGTCTCCCCTAGCAGGGCGCTAGTGTTGTCTCTTCTACCTCCTTTGGGAATTCTCCTCCCCAGAGCCGGCGGCCGGAGCCTGGAGCAGCAGCAGGCGCTTCTCACCTGAAACATCTTGATCATGTCCTCGCAGTTCCGCTGCTGCGCCACGTCACACAGCTTGGCAGTGATATCGATGCGCCGGCAGATGTCCATGTCCACCTTCATGGCCTTCTCCTGGATCTTGGTGTCCAGCTCCGTGATGTTCTGAACCCACAGCACCGCAGGAGGGGGACAAAGGAGGAAGATTAGGCAAGGCAAATGGCAATCAGAGCCCCCACATTTCCCCCTGTGCTTGCAGGACTGTGTCCGCATTCCCACTTTGCTGACTGCACCCTGGACCAACC